TGAATGGTCCCCCTTCTTTTACACCTCTTGACCTTTGACCCCCAGCTTCGACATCCCAACTCGATTTAGGATTACCCCCCCCACGTCCCGAATATCGTGACCGTACGTCGAGCGGTTAAGATTTGTGCCCAACTGTTGACGGACGGACGCTCGGACGGACGGACGGACGGACGGACGATCATGCGATTCTACAAGCTGCAGGACGGACGGACGGACGATCATGCGATTCTACAAGCTGCATCTGACTATGTCAGATGAGCTAAAAATATAAACTCACTGTTAATTCGATAATTATTCAGGAGGTGGAGACATGTACAAACCTTCCCTGCCGTTCGGGAGTTCCATTCAGAGAATCCTTGGACATCTCCATCAGCCGCATGCCTTCGTTAACATCTTCCTTCTCGACGGTGTCCACGAGTCGTAAGCGTGCCTATGAAATCCATAATGGACACTATCTCAGATCACAGATGAGATATCACGAGATCTAATCCTTCATCGTGCTTACCACAACAAATGCCCAATGCAACGCTCTTACAACTGTGATACAAAACACAAAGATGAAGCAAATGCTCTCTTAACTTGCAATCTACCATGAGTGAGACTTTCCTCTAAATCTGTATGCTTTTTTGCATATAGCTTGACGTGATGCGGCCATGATGCCGCGGCGCGCCGAGGATTGACACTTTGTGTATTCCAATCACAGCCTACGCCGCACCAGTCTTTGATATTTTTATAGGTGGTGACCCATTGGACCACCAAATCGCCGATCTCAGGAACTAGGGCATTCTGCTATGTTAGAATGGTTTCCTACAATAGAGTTTGCCACAAATACGAAAATAACACGCTGTTTAGCGCACTGCGCTACGTCCTTCTGCTGGATTTTCGCATCTCCGTAATTAGAATAAGCCCCGCCTTCTTCGTTGATGAACATGAATGGGGTGTCACCGACGTGACCAGTTACTGTACCAACTGTCTTTCGCCAGCCTGTTTACTTCTCGTAAATAACAAAATGCCCGGACAATGCATTTCGCATAGAAGTGGAAATTTTTTTGGCATTTTCACTCGCTGTCGGAAGTGAGCGAGTGCGTCATTCATTGAACATTAAAGTTTTTCTTAAAAATTAATTAATTCCCAAAATCCCTAACCGCGCTACTCGATTGTTTTAGCCAATGAACGTAGCTGTGTGTGACGTCTTGCCCGCGCGCTTTATGCTTGGCTTAGCAGGCCTCGAAATGGATATCGGAGGCAGGCACCTCGCAACACGCGTGTTTGTTTACATATAGCTTTGTGACGTACGGTGTTCGGGAGTTCTGCAATGATAACCTCGTAATTTCTCAGCATTTCTTAAGGTGCATGGAACATTTTACCAATTTAGTGGTGTCAGTTAGTCACGGATATGTCACAGTAAGTACTAACCATATATGTTTCACATACGTTCACCTATTTTGCACACATGCGGTCGATCATTGTGAAAAATTGTGTGAATATTTATTTTTATTGAGACGTTCCAAGTGCCTGTGCTTTCAACAGTCTTGTACGTCAATGCACGTACGTCAAGAGCCACAAACTCAACACAATTTCATCTCTGTTATTGTTTACGCCTGAATGCATGATTGATCAGGGAGGGGGGTGCATGTAAGAGGGAGACATTTTCTTTGGGGTTCCGAAAAACACAATTTCATGGGCCATTTCAATTGGAAGCTCTGCATAATGGACCCCCAACAAGCCCATTGACTGACTAGTCAAGAAATTCAAATGTCTGTATATTGCTCTTATTTAGCCGCCGATAGTTCATATATAGAACAAAGTCTTCATTGTTTATATCTTCTAAAACTACAGACCATCCGCTGACCGCTGTGGAGATGTGCGCCGGGCCTCGAATTTGGCGCACGTCTCCACTGCGGACAGCGCTTCATACTTGAACATCCCCGCGGAACTGCGCGTCTCATCCGCGCGCAGCGCTCAGGATCAACAGCAAAGCTGTGCCATGCAATCTTGTATCATGTCTCTCTGAATTCATTTTGTTTTTTTATTGCCAGGTAATAGAATACGGTTGTGCATAAATTTCCAATTCAGTATTTACACGCACATACAACTATATGAACTTCGATACCCACTGTGGGGAATTACAGTGTACAACAGACCCGAGCCTCACCAAGATCAACATTAATATCGATACTAACCTACACCAACACCCTAATTACTACTTAACCACCACACCAACACCCAAATTACTACCTAACCACCACACCAACACTCGAATTACTACCTAACCACCACACCAACACCCGAATTACTACCTAACCACCAGACCAACACCCGAATTACTACCTAACCACCACACCAACACCCGAATTACTAATCACTCTTTAGATGTCTCGATGACGACGCGTACCAGAGCCGTTGACAGACGGAGAATGCCGAGCAGCGTGCGGGCCGACGTGAACGTCATGTCCTTGTTGTTGCGAGCCTCCTTCCTCATCTCCACATATGCGCCTGTGATGTACTCCGTCAGCGACGCGGGGATCACGGGCACCTTCTTCTTACATAGGGCGATGTACCTCCTGCGAAAAACGGGGGGGAGTTACGTACGACCCATCGCCTCTCTCGTCCACTAGCGAATTATTTGAGCGTTGAACGCGAAACACGGCACCATGTTTCTCCATCTCGTCTCAGTGTTCATTGTCTCGCGGATTTAAACGTGCAGTCAAGACGCGGTTACCTCATTAGCTTCATGTCCAGTGGTTCGAACTGCGTCGGAGGCTGCACGCCGAATTGATGAACGTAGGTGATGTGCTGGGCTAGCCTGTGTAACATAGGAGCTTCAGTTAACAAAAGCCAGTTGACACAAGGTGTCTAGAATCGCCACTATGAAAGCCCCTTTTGAGATGAGAACAGTTTGTCGCTCGATGTGATGAATTGAACCCATGCCACATCAGTGCACAATTCTCTGTTCAGAGCCTATTTTGCTATGCCATGTTATTATTTAAAGCTATTTGTTTTTGGAAAACTTCTGATAAGAAAAATTACGACTTCACCACAGATAATTGCAATAATAGCTACAGAAATAAGGGTAAATCTTCATAAACATTAATTACGTTTTATCCTATTTATATGTCAACAAAATTTTCTAGGGTTATGATAGATACACACATAGCAGTTCAAATCAAAATCTAATAGGTTGAATTATTGATATTAGGAAAACAATAATTTGACATGGGGCAGCAGATGGATGGCAATGCAATTACTTAAGTGAAATAATTCATAGAAATTTCTGACTGACAGAGCCTCTCAGGAAAACTAAACTGCTGCGATTTCAACATCTCATTCCTCTAATATATTATCTTTCAGTCTCATCTGACACCCGTTTAAAGTTGTGCTCGCTGATTGCTCCCTGCTGAATAATACTGGTACTCCCCTGCTGCTAGTTCCACCCAATTTTTAAGACACGTCGTGCCAAACTTTAGTGATATAAAACGTGCTGCTGCGACACTGCTTATAATTGCTAACGCTGGAGATGTGTGAAGAGGTCATAGCGTGAGGCAGATGAGATCTCCACGTTCATCTCTCCATAGAGAGGAGAGAGCCCTACCTGAGATCATTGTCCCTGTCTGGTTTGTCCTGAATGAGCCAGAGTACGTCGAACCTGGAGAGCAGAGCGGCTGGCAACTGAATGTTATGCTGGACAGACTTCTGCGGGTTGTATCGGCCATACGCAGGGTTAGCCGCTGCCAGTATGGACACTCGAGCATTCAGTGTCGTCATGATGCCAGCCTGACAAATGCAAAAGCCAATCACAAAATCAGCGTACAACGAACAAAGAATTACGTATATAATGCACAAAGCCATGCAATCAGCGATATATATATATACCTAATTCTGTAGGTGATGATTATTTACGAAACTGCACATAACAGACAAAGTCTGCACACATGTAAACCACACCTTAGCAATAGAGATGGTCTGTTGCTCCATAACTTCGTGGATAGCAGTCCTGTCCCCATCCTGCATCTTATCAAACTCATCTATACAGCAGACACCCTACAATAACAATAAACACAATAAAACGCTAACAAACAACAATAAATAAAAGATGGACCAACGTATGACATTGGATAGTAATTCGTTAGTCCATTGATATTTCAACTATTACAACACAGGTGTACCATTACTACTGCACCTCATTTAACAGTCTTGTTTATCAAAGCGTCTTTTAACAGATTTTTGTTTAAAAGAGACTTTGATCTAAATAATTTTGTAATTAATTAACAGATGTTATATAATCGTAGGTGTATTGATACTATCATTAAAAAATATCAATTATTAGTGAAAACAATCAAACGATGCACCAGACAATTTACAACTCAATGCGTCCATCCAACACAATCAAGCCCGCATCATCGGTACCAAGCCTCGACCAATCACTACCCCCCCCCCTACGCCCTGAGAAGCAAACTCGCTCCGCACCTGATCCGCGAGCACGAGAGCGCCCCCTTCCAGCACGAACTCTCCCGTAAGCGGGTCCTTCATGACGGCGGCGGTAAGGCCGACGCCGGACGAACCGCGGCCCGTCGTGTACTGGCCGCGCGGCGCGAGGCGGTTGATGTAGGACAGCAGCTGGCTCTTCGCAACGCCCGGGTCTCCCATCAGACAGATGTTGATCGAACCTGTACGCACGATCGCGACAGCATGGCGTTATTTGAAGTGGAATCAAAAATGGCGACTGTACAGTAGCTAGAGTGTGTTGATCGAACCTGTGCGCACGACCGTGACAGCATGGCGTTATTTGAAGTGGAATCAAAAACGGCGACGGTACAGTAGCTAGTTTCGCAACTGCATCGCAATGAACGTTCGCAGCTGCTGTTGAGTCAGATAGCATGGCTATTGAGATTCAAGAGGTTCTAGAAGTAAAATTACTTTACACTAGAGGATTTACGGTTAATGTACAGGATATCAGGAAAGAGTATGGGTGAATAATTCAGTTTTATGTGAACTAATAAATGACCAATGTACCTCTGATCTTCATTCCTTTAGGTGAGCGATCAACGCCCCCTACCAGGAGAAGCAGCAAGGCTTTCTTGATGTCCTCATGCCCATATATCTCAGGTGCGATGCTAGAAGCAAGCTTGTCATAGAAGTCGTCCTCTGCGAAATTACACGAATATGCGCAGTTATAGTTAAAATTCTTTACACTTAAAATTTGTAGCGAGATTTGGCAATCGTATTATATTGTTAGCCTGGTCATAGCATCTTATCTTATTGATAATTTCATTTACTATTACCCAGGAATGGTTTAGAATTTTATATGAATAAATAAATAATGCAAGATTGTACTCCATCCTACTAAAGCCCTATAGTTGGACTGTACAGATGTGTGAGACCACAAACTTACCATAGTGTTGACTATAGCAGCAAGAGGAAAAAAAAACATATTAAATTTAGGAAGCACCTTTTTTAAATATACATAAACTGATAATATCATGGCAGTGTTTCCCCTGCATTGACACGAGAGAGGCGGCCGCCTCGCTCAAATCTCAGCCACCAC